TCGCGTGGAACAGCAGAGGCCGCGGATCTTCCCTCAGCACCAACGGTGGGTCCCGAGGGATCGAAATCAGCAAATCCGTGAGAAGCAGCACCCGCAAACGCGGGACGTAAAAGGCCGCCTCGCAGAAGGCACCGGTAGAGGGGTCCTTGCCCACCGGGCCAAAGACCTGTGAGACTTGACGTTTGCGGGGCGTGTTCCCCAGTGGGGAAAGGCTCTCTTCGACATGTCCGAAAAACTGAGACCAGGGCAATGTGCTCCAGTTCCTTGCCCCATGGAAGATCCGCTCCAGCACTGTCCCGCGGCAGTTCCCGCACCCCGAAGAGGGGGAAGCCCAAGAAGGCTAGCGGCAGTGGTAAAGGAACGGAATACTGGCCTGGAGCGATCCAGACCTCTGCATCAGGAAGCCGCTGGGCCAATGGCCCTGCAAAGGTTTTGTGCTCCACGGCTACGGTCGGGAGAACCAAAAAACGGACGGCCCCGTACTTGGACTCGAGCTCGCGGAGCAGCGACAGGCACTCATTGGTTGGGGCAACCGCCCCATAAACCAAGAGTCCACCAGACTCTAAACGCAGGACTGTCATGCGAATGGGGACGTGAACATACAGCAGGCCGAGTTTCTGTTCCAAGCCCCACAGCTCTCCCGGAATGTACTCTACCAGGAAGGTACGTCGCCTCTCGTAGGGCGCCTTAGCTTCGCTGTTGCAAGATCCAGACCGGAGTGCTTAGCTTCTTTAGACTGGGCGATTTCATGGCTGAGGTTTGTATGTAGGGTATACGCACGGTCAATCTGATGTGAGCTGGCCCGGCTGGCAGAAGACAAAGGAGCAGAATCTCCTGACCGATACGATCTGATCTTGGCCTCCATGGGCTGGGGCACAAGATTAAGTCCCGAGGCAAGGTGCAATGGGCAAGGCTGGCCACAAGTCCCACCTTGCATCTGCCGGCACGGGTGGAGGGGAGAGCTGCTGTCCAGCCGCCCTCCGAGCCGTCCGGGAGATGGTCGGTGTCTTCCAGTTGCCCACGAAGCTCACACTTCCACCAACAAGCAGCAGGAGCCAGGAAAGCCATCTGGCGGCCATTGCGGGGAGGTTCTTTTGCCGTGGTGCGCCTTACATGGCAGAGGTTGCTAAGGCCCCATCTGCAAGACTATGCTACGTTCCCTGTCTGTGATGTGCAGTGGCACATGCAGTTTCACGGGCCCAGTGCCTGTGAGCCACTGAGCGTCAGTCGAACATGCAGCTCAGAAATGGCCCATGCAGTCTAGCATTTGCACCACCGAACCTCCATCGGAGAGGAAGTGGCTGAAGTTTGCGACCTGCTATCGGCCATCGTAAGCGTCCAGCAGAGGCCCCAAGTATTAATCGAAAGGGCCACCCTCCGACCTTCTGGGTCTCTTGAGCGGCAAGATTGCCTTGCGCAAAACCCCCATGCGCGTGGGATGTAGCACGGTTTCGTCAGTAGACTGAAGGCTGGGCAATGGCTTGAGACTTTGGAAGGTCCGCTGGTCCTGTACGATGCAACACGCAGCGTTCCATACCGAATAAGCTGAGCAGTTGGCAGTTGCTAGCTTCGTTACCCGCCTTCCAAGGCCACAGCCGGCAACGGCGCCTCAGATTCGGCGGCGGTTCAGCCTTCAAACGGTCAGTTGGTCTTCATGAGCCAAGGCACCACCCAGGCTGCTGCGGAATGCCCTTGCAAAGAGATGGCTTCGGAAGAAAATGAAGCTGGTGGCCGGAACACAGACTCGCAACTGGGCACCCTGACCATTTCGCGTTGCGGGTGCACGCGAAGGTAACACCTCTGTGCTCAGACTGCAGGAGTCGGTGTTTGTTTCAGGAATACACAGGCAAGCCATGTCGACCAAGACGTTGTTCAGGCTCCAGCACAGAAGGGCTCCTTGACGTTTCCGCACATGGCGCCAAACTGCCACGGTGTCAACGATGTTAGGATACTTGATGTCTCCAGTGTTGTTTCACGACCAGCTGGCGGTTTGCTGCGCATGCGCCTGGAACGGAGGCACCAGAAAGTACTCTGCCCAGCTCCTCTTCGGCTGTGTAATCTGATCCATGAGTGTAGCTTCGGAGCAGTTCGAAACTTGAGGACCCAGCCAGGCGGAGTCTGCCTCAGTGGGAAGTGTGTCTGCCAGCCACGGGTGCACGGCTTGCAAAGGGCAACGAGAGCCTTGCCCTGTGCGGCTGCGTGGTGACACCTTCCGGCCTGTTCTAAGAAAAGCTCTGGATGTCTTGTCCTTTCGAGGAACACCAGGCTCCCTTGCGCTGTTGGCCGCTTGTGCTCATGCTCATCATCAGGTGGATTCTCCTGGACCAATCATGGGGTCACAAGGATCACTACGCTATCAGCCGCAGTTCACTTGCTGAAAATAAGCCCGCACACTGTCTTTTTGCTGGCTCCTCCTCGGTATCATCTGATGTCTGCGATGCCTTCACGCAAGAACTTCAAAAACGTACAAGGGCTTGAAGTTGAGGAACCAATCCGGCGGCAAGGGAAATTTCTATACATGACACGACATGTATGGCGGACCTTGCCAAAGGGTATAGTACTTGATACTGACACATGCACCATGTGCACCAGGGCGCTTTGGAGCTGGCATCTACCACCATGCCCGTCTCAGCTTCCGCCTACCCGTCCAGCTCAACATGCAGGCATGCAGGCGGAAGTGCAGGAAGCACATGAGAGATGTACTGCCACCCCACCTCAAGCTTTGCGCTACACGCATGGTAGCGTGTGCGGTGGGAAACGGCATTTTCCTACTTCCATGAAAAGGAACAGCTGCAAGCCAAGTGTTGCGAGTGATACACTTGCATTGGCTCGTCGGAAGCATGAGCATGACAGCTAGAGTGCGCAAACCGAGCACCTAACTTACACGGTACTGGTTTCTGACGCTGCAATCGCACGCCATGGACTAGCAACCACCGTCACGCGACCAGTTCCTTTTCCAAGAGGGATGCCGATGTGTCGATATTTTCTGGCCAGTCGGTATAGCGATGCCGAGCGCGCCAACTCACGCTTTTCGGCATCTGCTTCTGATTCCCGCAGCCCGAGAAGTACTCGATTTTGTGGTGTAATGCTGGAGTCAATGCATCTCATCGAAGCTTTGTAACCAGAGCTCTCTTCAATTATCCCAAGGCGGGATATGTCAATCAGCATGTCGTGAGGTATGCCAAGCATCTTCGCGGTGTTCAACATCATCTTGCCCTTACGACTATCTTCGCCGTGGCAGCATGGCATGAGAGCGAAATCCACTTGGCTTCTGGTACATGCACGAATCAGCTCGTCTGACAACAAGCTGCATGCGTGGCAGGAAACCACGCCGATCTCACTTGGCCGCAAATCCCCGGCTTCTTTGTCCAGAAGTGATGACAGCCAGTCCGGACTCGAAACGTCCGCGATGTGGTACTTCACCGAGGCATCACTCCCATCCGGATCATCCGCCCATGCCCTGCGTAGATTCTCAAAGCTCGTCGGCTGGTACAAATCGACCACGATCGCCTTAGAGGACTCAGACTCAGACTGGGGATTCGTCACAAGACCCTGAAACTCCACCAAGAGGACACGTAGCGTAGCTTGTGCATGAAAAACTGCGGATACTAGCATGTTGCAGGTGACTCGATCAGCTCTCTTGTGTGCGAGGAAAACACACGCGATGCCACCATGTCCTCCAGCAGCATCCACGAGAAGCTTCTTGTGGCCAAGCTGACGCTGACATCCACGGAGTGCCATGCTCTCCACAACATGAATTCGATCTTCTCTCTCTTTGTCAGATTATCTGGGACATTTGGAGCAGCTGAAACCTCCACTGCCCCGCTGAAAGCTGCAGCTTCGGACTCACGCAGTGATGCTGTTGGTGGCACATTCCTTGCCTTGGTCGTGCTACCCGTAAAGGCAAAAGCTGCAGAAGCCCATGCCAAGACCCAAAGCAACACGTGCCCTCGTCCCCGGCGCGACTTCTCATTCAGCATTGCGACCATGTCTACTGTGAGTGAAGTACCCTAGCACTGCCCAGCTCGGTGGGCATAAGCTCAAAAGCCTCAAGCCTGATAAGTGAGGAAAGGCAGCCCGGACCCAAGCCTGGGTCGGCTCTTGGGCCAACGGAGAAATGATCAGACAAAGAAGCCCTTCTGAGATTCTGGTTTCGGGTGTGAAAGCTCCTGCCCCTGTGCTGAATACATGCGGCCGCATAGCGAAGGTGTGCAATACATTACGAGAAACGAGCGGGCACTCAAACCCGGGAGCTTGAATCCGGGAAGACTCCAGTCCCTCTCGCACATACTACTTGGAGTCGGATAAGACTGCTCAAGAGCGAAGGGATGTAAGAAAGAGCAGGATGAAAACTCAGGCTCACAGCGCGAGCTCCATATAGCAGATACAGCCGAACATCCCTGAACGCTGTTTTGCTTCAATCAAGCATCTCTCGCCCTGACAAACATACTCAACCTTGCATCTCCCCAACACTCCATTTTTTGCCTGCCCTGACGACGAGTAGCGCACAGCTCACTCAACAAGAGGAGATTTCCACCTCGCGCGACACCGGCAGAGGCCGCGTGCAATCACGGGAGCCCAACTTCGAGAACCGAATGTGGCTGTTTTCTGTATCAGTTTCTGCCTTGGTAGCTACTTTATCTACTTTTTCTCCTGGTGAAAAGTTGCGAGCCTGAAGCTGTCTGGAACCGCTTGAAGAAGCTGCGTTGTCCGTTATGGTTGAGTGTCCCGTCTACGACCCATGTTGTATACATATATATATATATACACACACACACACCCATTGCAGTTTGAAACATTAATCTGCATGTTGGTCGTTGTTGCCCACCTTGGAGTCTTTGTCAAGGGAGGCACCCAGGATTTCACCACTGGAAGTGTCCTGCTCGAGCGAATTGGAACATGGATGAGCGCGCAGCTGTCGAGCCTTCCTTTTCCGCTTCTCTCGTTACGCAAACGTGTTGGTGCTGGCGTCACTTCTACCGCCGTCACCTCAACAACATTTGCACACGCCAGCCATACTTCTAAAGCTCACAGAAGCTTCTCCCGCTCCCTCTGCTTGGCCAGAAAAGCTTCCCTCTTCACAGGCTGGGACGGTCCGCTACGGGTTTAGAATAAGAGTCTGCGTGGAAGATGGGTGCAGCTAAGATGTCCACGAGGTGCTGGCTGCTGGACTAGTGCCATCGTGACGTCTGTCGGTCACTGCTGGCAGGTTCAGTGCTCATTGCGACGTGACAGGATTGTTGGTCCGAAGCATACCAGATCTGAGGGACTTTTTTCGATTGGGCAGACCACCACATCATAATTCTACAAACATCCGCAACGCTAGATTCGGCATCAGGGCCTCTGGAGTCCTTTCTCCGCCTTTGGCGATGATGAGGACCTGGAAACACACCGTTTTTTCATGGGAGGGCTTCATTGCTGCCTGCGACGGAGGGTGTTTGGAAACGCATGCATGAACACGTGGCCGCACATCGAAGAAGCTTTCCGCTCCCTCCTTGAGGCACATCTCGAAGTACTCCCTGACCTTCGCGCCAATTACACAGATGCGGCTATGCTTTCGTGCACACAAGGCTGCCCAGAAAACCCAACACGCCCGGCACACCCTGGGGCTGTCGAAGACAAAGGTCAGAAACTGCCTGCGTTGGCACTGCTTATCACTGCTTCCAGTCTCGAGGACGGCAGGGTGGCACATGCGGCAGGGCACTCCGAGGTCCCTGCCCTCCCCTCATCGTCAGCGTTGCCCGCGATTGCAAGCAGCCATCCTGCAGAGCTTCTAGAGCAGAGAAAGAAGAAAGGGCAGGCTGCTACCCCACACAAAGATGTGAGTTCGGATTCCTCTCCGAAGCTTGGCGTTGGCCATGTTGGCGTGGGGGGACAGATACCATCTATATACCTGAAGTGGAGGTGCTCAGTTCCTGCAGCCGCCTGCTGTGGCTCAGGGGCACTTCAGGGCCACGGGATGCTGCGCATGCGGCACGTGCAGGACCAGGTGAGTTATGTCCGAATCCAGGCGGGCCTTACGCTAGGCAGCGTCTGCGTTCGCAGAGGCACACTCCAAGCTGAGGATGCCAACTTCCGCCAGGCGGGTTCGGTTATCATCGAGAAGCACCTATGCGCAGCAATCCGGCGACTCCTCTCGGACATTCTCCTACAGCAGCTTGAAGAAGCTCAGCTGAGGCCAGTCACGCAAACATTGATGCCCTGAAGCAAGGCTCGCGTGAAGGATTGCACGCAGACCTGCATCACAATCTTTGTGCCAACCATTCTGGTTCCCCGCGTTCCTCCGGTGTCGTTTTTCCTGTCGTGGAAGCAGAGAGCAAGCTACCAGCCCGGCAACCTGAGTGCGCGCGCGCCCACTTCGTTGTCCAGAGCTCTTTCAGCTCAGCATCGCATCGTGAAACCACGGGTATTATCTCGGTGTTTACAGTCAGAGAGTCTTTCTGCGGGCTTCTCGTCTCGCACTCTTCCGTTCTGGTCCGCCCAGTCTTCGCCAGAAATGTTGGCAACCAGTTGAGTGGTTTGGAGTCCTTCGATCTCCGAGTCTTGATGTTGTGCTGCTAACGAAGCAGGATGCATCCTGCTCAGCAAGCTTTCCCTCCAACAGGGTTTCCTCGAACCTCTACCGCTTTTCACAAAAGATCCCGCCTTAAGGCAGCGCTGCTGGTCATGCTTCTCCTGGCGGTTCGCACTCTTCGAGTTCTCCAACTCGTGAGCAACAAGCTGCAGTGCCCTCCGAACCCTTGATCATGTGGGCTACGCTAGACAAGCAGGTGATGTCAAACAATGTCCATCGGGGGGGCTTCCGGTAACTCTTCCACGGAGACCAGGAGGAGAAACTGAAATAGTTTTCTCAACCGACAGGAAGACGCTGATCTTTTCCCGGAAAGGCTGGGAAGCATCAGAGTTGGCGTGAAAATCCTAATCCACACCACAGGCTGAGCCAGAGCCCAGCTAAAGCACAGAGGCCCAAAGTCTCGTCCGTAGACGTCTCTCCCGTGGGAGGATCCTCCGGCACGTTTGGCCTAGGGAGGAGGAGGGGCCAGTGGTGGCGAGCCACAAACTCTACGCCGAAACAGGTTGAGAAAGATGCGTGGACTACGCTCAGCTGCGCGGCGCTACGACCACTGGGAGTATTCTCAACCGACAGGAAGACGCTGATCTTTTTCCCGGAAACGCTGGGAGGCATCAGAGTTGGCGTGAAAATCCTAATCCACACCACAGGCTGAGCCAGAGCCCAGCTAAAGTACAGAGGCCCAAAGTCTCGTCCGTAGACGTCTCTCCCGTGGGAGGATCCTCCGGCACGTTTGGCCTACCAAAACCAACCACACGGCAACTCCCCCAATCGCCAACTTGCCCCGAGATTGGGCTAGCCCACTGGCAGAGCCACTCGCCAAAAAGAGGCCAGGAAAGCCTGTCGGGCGGTGACGCGGGCGGGGAGAAGCAGTTGGATTAAGGTGGCTCGCGCGTCATCCACGTAGACGCGGGCCGTTTGTTGGTCTTTCCAGCGCCCCTGAATGACGGTGCGGCCTAGGCCATGCTGTTGGTAAAACCAAGTAGCGCCGCCACGGCGCAAGCAGTAGGGCAGGTAGTCACCAGGTTCCAGACCAACCGAAGAAACCAGTGAAGAAAACTCCAGCCGGAAAGTGGATACTGATTTAGTGTAGATTCGATCACTCGGGCGTACCCGGTCCATCAGAAATTGCAAAACTTGCACCAAAGAGGGCTCTCGGAGAGAAAGGGATTGCTGTAGCCCTTTTGCGGCTTTTGCGCCCAAGATTGCAATCACCACGGTGCCGTCTTCAGGGAAGAGGCGGACATGGGCAGCGCTGAGGCCAATCAGCTCCATTGTTCGAAGGAAAAAAGCAAAGCCCAAGAGAACAAGCAAAGCCAAATCAAATCTTTTGAGCTGAGCCGCGGCGGCTGCCATGGCTTTGGCCCCCAACCAAGATATGGGTGACGTCCTCTTTGGCATGTGAACCCGATGCCAATTACGCAGATAAAGCTGCGAGGTAAGCAGGTGGGGCCGACAGCGAGGAAAGAACCTTTTGAGGCCACTGACAGTCCACCCCGCCAAGGTTACATTGTCACCCTCTTGGTACAGGTGATTGATGTACTCGGAAACTTCATCATCGAGTTCTTCCATAGAGGAAGGCAGCCTGCCCCGTAGGGCGCGAATATATGAACAAAGAAAGCTTGCACCGCATCTTCATAGGATCTCCTTGTCTTGGTTGTGATACCCAAAAAGCGCAAATGGTCACGCCGGTTCAAATTTCCGTGACGCGCCATCGGAAAAATTCCATTTGCTGATCGTCCAGAGGTCCAGAGAGAGATGGGTATCAAGCCAGTTGCCAAGGAGATTGCGGTGACTCTGCGGCAGATGCGGTTGAGCCGCTTGGAGGAGCTGCGTCCCCTGAAGCTCCAATAAGCTTTAAATAAGGTGACGCCTCTTTAAGAATTATAGGATAAGCGTTAAAGCTTTATTTAGAGCTGATATAATCAGCTTTAATTAAGGCTGACAGTTTTCCATACAACCACTTATTATCTCTATATATATCGATGTATATATCTTTATATTAATTTTTTTTTCAGGAGGGCATATATGCATGTCTCTCCTGCATGCATGATCTGGATCGCGGCGACATTCGGCATGCATGCATGCTGCAGGCAGTGCAGTTGCAAGATCGAAGGAATATTGGCATGATATTGCAGGATCTGCGATTTTTTTTGCTCGAGTGTTTGAATTCTGTTTTTTGTAAGCAGCATGGCAATGTCGAGTCGGAGGTCCAATGGTGCCACCGGGAAAGATCTCATGAAGACTTTCAGAGGAAATCTCCAAGCTGTGGAAGCTGGAGATGCCCTCTTGTCTTTGGATGCTTTTTGCAAGAAGCATCATGTGCTCATGAAGGAGATTTTGGGCATCACTACTCGGCCGACTGCAGCTGTCATGCGTGAATCAATGAGCTTGGTGTGGCCAGGGGCACCAAGCTTGGAGCTGAAGACGTTTGCGAATCATCTTCACGAAGTTTACAAGACTCTCTTCACGAAGACTCGCAACATGTCCACAGGAGGAAGGCTGGCCGACAGCATTCAGGACATGTGCTTCTTCATCAAGGACTTGCTCCGTTTACCGGAGAGTAAGCAGGGGTCCAAGAGGGCAAGCTCAGGCTCTGCCCGGTCGCCCAAAGCCTCTCCGAAGAAGAAGATCAAGCAAAGGCTGGACTCGACATGCCAAAAGGCATCGACAAGGAAACTTGAGGTTCACGTCTCTGTGTCCTCTTCGGATGCAGGTGCAACAGTTAAGAAGGAGCCGGCAGAAGCTGCAGAACCTGCAAGCCATACGAGAGATGGGCCAAGGCCTCTGCCTACAGGCCAAATCAGCAAGCTATACCAGCAGGCTGCATCGGCCGCCAGCTTTTTCCACACAGATTTGTCAGTACCAACGGTGCTGCGAATTGCAGGTGACAGCCGAGAGGCTGCCAAGATGCACAAGGGGCCTTCTGGTTTTGCTGTGGCAGTGTGGTCCGATGGGCATCAGATCGTGAGCGAGATCCCGAACCTTCTGCTGGACAAAGCAGCTGCAGCCAAAGCATCTCCTAAAGGAAAAGCAAAAGCAGCTAGCAAAAAGAAGCCAGCTGCAGTCATCAAGAAGCCAGCCTGCCTTCCGCAGGAAGATGGAGAATCTCCAGCTGCAGGTGCAGATGATGCTGCAGCAGGCCAAGATCTCGAAGCCCCTGCCGAAGCCGCTCTGGTTCCAGTCGATGCTCCAGCTGCAGATGATGATCAGGATCCGAACTATGGGGATGTGGCGGTTCTCCCTGCAAATGCGGTTCTTCGGAAGGAGTATCGTGCAGCAAACAACACCATGGCCTTTCGCATGATTTGGCGAAACGAAAAGAACAAAGAGTGCAAGAGGCAGATGTTCCAGCTGAAAGGCGGCTCCGCCACCACGAAGGAGCAATTGCATGCAACAGGAGAGGAAGCCCTACGAAAAGCTCGAGCTGGAGAGCCTTTGGCCCAGGTCAGGAGCTGGGCAGAAGAGCAACTGAGCAGCATGCAGCCATAGCTGGGTGAGCTGCAATCGAGACTCGACGATCGATGACGATTTCGCTTTCGAGCAGAAATTTTGTGAGTGCCTGCATTTTGGATCCATGCTTTTGCAACATGAAATTTGGTATGTGCAGCATGCAACTTGAAGACTCTGTGTTTTTGTATATATCTGTAGCTGGCTCAAAGCATGCATGTCCACGTCTCTAGGTTAACATGGCTTGCGAGGTGTTTTCTATATATTATATTCTATAAATACGTAAATTAACAAATCTAGATATTTTGGCCATTTTGGCGCTTTGAGGGTTTAAGGGTCTATAGGATTAGATTCCTGTTGCCTGCCGGGCCCTCAGTTCGGTTGTGAGCCTGCCTGCCATAGCTTTGAGAGTTCCAAGCAGTGTTTTTTGTTTTCGGGAGGTTCGCCGCCTCCCGGGGTAGGTTTGAAGCCCCTTGCCCCCTGTGCCCAGGTCGAGACCATGGTGCTCGTGCCGCTCTACTGCGAGGACAAGGACTGATCTGCAGATTCTTCATGTTCGTTTTTGTTTGCAAGTGCAAGGGCAGCAGATTTGTGGAAGTTCTTGCCTCCATGCTTAGAATTTTGAGCTCGAGGGCTCTGGAGTGCTTGTAGCTGTGTTTTTGGATTTGGGCCGCCATGGCGGCGAGCAAGCTCGGTGCAGCTGTGGATTTGGAGGAGGAGGAATCCGAGGAGTCGGAGGTCCGGGTGGAAGACCCGGCAGTGCCCGTGCCGGCCGAGGCTCGGCCGGGGCCGGATTTGAGAATGTGTCGTAAGTGCAAAACGGTGGCATATCTGAGAAAAGGAGGATGCAGCAATCCCTCATGCACCTTGGTTTGTTTTCAGTAAGATTTAAACTTAAGTGTGTTAATTTTCCGATTTTATTCGGGAGTCGTTTTGGACTCCCGTATTTTTTTATCAGGTTTATGCAGCTCCGCCCTGCAGGCCCCCTGTACTACGTCCACCAGAAGGACTGGAAGTATCATGCGAAGGGGAAGCAGCGGGAGAAGAGCTGGATGGAGGATTCTGAGGGCTTCGAGAAGATGCTCTCCAACATGAGGTGGGCCTACAATAAAGCGGCCGAGGAGAACAAGGCCAAGGAAGCCCAGGAGGCCAAGAAGGCCAAGGAGGCCAAGGAGGCCAAGGAGGCCAAGGATCCCAGCAAGAAGGGCAAGAAGAAGAAGAA